ACCTTAGAACTGAAGAAGCTTCTCGGATGAGAGGTGAAACGTCTTCAAGCAACTTAAAGAAGTCCAGACGCTTTTCTTTGCAAGCTCCTTTGACTTTTATAAATGTAGTGTTTCATTTTCACTTTAACTTTAAGCACTTACTTTTTAAGGTTTTTAAGAACATGCTTAGCACCATCTTATGCCAGTACACGATGTGATGTCACTGGGTTGGGTGGTTGATTGATTGGGTTCAACTGACAAACATTAGTTCATATTAGTTAACTAACAAAAGCACCAACAACTCAGGGGAAAAATAAGGACACTAAAACTAAAAAAGCAGTCTAAGGAGGTCACGTTTCCACTGCTCCTGGCTGCAACAATGAGTTTTATGTTAAGAAACCAATGATTTCAGTCTGTCTCTTTAGCAGTAAGTGCTTCTTTGATGTTTGACTACCTACACAGACACAGGGAAATCCACCTGTTAGCTGTAATATTTAGGTTTGTAAAGCACTTTATAAATGAGCACTGTGTGGACGAGAGCCTGTTTGAATCAGGTGGTTCGTGGGACCGACAAGCTGGAGACTCTGGTCTGGTCGCGTGTACTAAGCTGATGCCATAAGCAGTATTTTATGCAATACAATAATCTTAAACACAACAACATAACAGCTTACTACATGCAAATCACACCACAAACATAACTATGTTTCTTACTGAAGCAGGATTGGGAAAGAAAAGAGGTTGATGTATGCGATGAAAAAAGCAAAACAAAAAACAGACTCAGAGGAAAAGATGCCACGACTCTTTTAAAGACCTTTTTTACCCCTCAAGTCATGTCCCTGAATGGATTACTTCATATTAGAAGTGAAGAAAAGCAAAGCCCAAATGTGAGCGAGTGACCCCTTTTTACTAAATTTAGAGTGTCAGACACCAGGTTGTTGGTCTGGGGACTCAAAAAGATTCTGCTCAACGCTATACTTATTTACACTGTGGAGGAGAGTGCTTTACAAACCTGAGCATTACAGCTAACAGGTAGATTTTTCCATTTCAATGCCACTAGTGTTAAAACTATGCTTCAATAACAGCAATCCTGCCTACCTTTTTATTAGGCCCATTTTCTTTCACGAGCAACCAGCTAGGCTCGGTTCAGAATATCTGGCGAGGCTCAAATCAACATCGCTCCGATTCTGCTCGCCAATGGTGATCTTCTCCTCAACTCAATCAAGCCCCATGTTGGGTGCAGAATTGTCTGTTTTTTTATGAGAGAGAAAACAAATATGCTCAAATTACAAGTTTTCCCAATTTATTATCAAACGGATTTCAGATTACTTTTACATGCCGCCATGGACCTCCATCTCTCTGGCTCAGAGACAAAAGGCTGGTACACCTAGGCAGACAAAATAATTTCCCTCAGGATAAATAAAGTTCTTATCTTATCTGTATGTATGTTAAGACGATTGGTCAAAAGTTGGAGGAAAGCCTTTAGACCTCATGTACGGCTCACGTTTCAACTTCTACACATTTCTGAACATCTCCTTTTATAGAGATGAAACTTTTGCATGCAACAATGCCATCACCATGGCAACTGTCCTCTGGTCAGGCCTGTAGAAGGTGGGAGGAATGCATTCCCAAACACCAGAATTTATGGCCCTGTTTTCTTGTATGTATCACAACCCTCACCCACATACCTGACAGGGGGTCATAGTGTAACAGTCTGCATTCAAAACTACCTGATTTTACATACATTTGTGCAGTAAAGGATAAATGTGTGATGTAAATTATGAGGTATATAGCCTTAAAGATAAAAAATAAATTCTAACACTAGCCAAACAACGGAAGACCCACTTGGACAGAACTGAAAGTGGACGGCATATTCTTCATTTGTTAACATGAAACTCGTTGTTGCAGCCAGGGGGAATACCAAAGTGACCCCCGAAACCGAATTATAGTTTTAGTCTCTTTATATTCCATTTAGTTTTGGCTTTGGTTATTAATTAGCTTACATAAACTAATGTACGTCTATTAGCAGCAAACAACCAACCAACACACCCGCTGGACTACAGTATGTGTGCTTTTTTATTAATCCTTTATTTATCCAGGTAAAAATCTCATTGAGATTAAAAATCTCATTTCCAAGAGAGACCTGGCATCATGGCAACAAAAGCTACATACCACATAAGTACATAACATTTAAAACAAATACAATATCCCAACATGTGTAAAATAAATAATTTTGCTGCCATTTGTTGTCTTTGTGCGAACTGGAATCAAAGATAGTGAGTTACACTATATGTAATCATTGAATTGTATACATAGTACACCACATTTTAAGAAAACAGGGTTATAAAAGTGAAAGAAATGTCATCATAAAGCAATTTTAACACACTGAAAGGATGCACACAAGGCACACCTTGAGAATAAATCTTTGCATAGATGAAATTTAGAAAAAAGCCTGTAAAGTTTGGCAGATTGTTTTGAAAGAGAAAAAGGGGATTTTTTAATTTCTTTTCTCACACACACACACACACACACACACACACACACACACACACACACACACACACACACACACACACACTCCTCAGAGAGAGGTAATCTCACAAACCTATGAAACTCGGGTTGTTAGGGTTGAAAGCAATTTTAATGTGGGTCAAAGACGGCGAAATGTCAGACTTACTGGGCGGTTGTAAAGCAGCATCAGCTTGGTGACTCGAATGTCTAGTCTAACTCTGAGACTCGGGTGATGAAACATATTGTAGACCTGAAAAAAAGAATTAGTACAACTGAACCATGTGAAAGGTCATATAAAGGAAAAAAATCATCAACATACTGTACTTGAGTGAATGTCAAAATTTATGGGACAATTTTCTGATAACATCCATTAGAAATAATGCATGAATGGATGGATAACCTGCTAATGCAAATAAACAAACTGACTATTGCAAATGAATATTTTAATCCACTTGGATTAGATAGTTGACATCAACATCACACTTTTCTATCAGACATAAATTAAACAACTCTACCTAACATAGCCTAAACAGATATTAACTGGTTATGTATTTTAAAAGATTTGGGTTTTTTTAAATTTGGTTATGAGCAGCATTATTGTGCAGTGGTGCAAACACACGACTAGCTTGTCATGTTAACTGGTGATTCTAAATTGGCTCTAAGTGTAAGAGAGTGTAGTTGCCTGCATTAATGTTGTGAGTATAAGGGTAACACACTCGAGTGTGTAAAGTCGCCTGATGATAATGTGATAGGCTTCAGTCCCTCTGCAACAAAATTGTATAAGAATTTAGGAAAATCGATCTGTATTTAAAGTGCACTGGGTTTCCGAGGTAGTATTGTAAGTATGAGACCAAACAGTACACAAGAAGGCTGAAATTGCAAATTTCAGTATAACTTTAAGACAGTTATACTAGCAAACACTAAAAAAGTTATTCCTACTGCTACCATGTGATGGTTTTTAATGACGTTGACTCACATATTAAATACAGAGTAGCTTCTTTCAACATTTTTACTGGTTTAGAAATGCATCAGTCTCTGTATTTAAATAAACACTTATATGTATTTGAATAAACAGTTTAGGTTTGACTTAAACTCAAGTGAGGGAAGTCAAAAACAGCGTTTGATTCTAAAAATCTTACCATATTCATAACAGTCAATAGGAACCTCTGTGCTGCCTCACCACCATGGTACTGGACCATGTCCGAATCTGCTACCACCACTGTCTCCAGAGTGTAGACTTCGTGCAGGCGAATGGCATCTCTCTTCCCACGACCCTCCTCATTCTCTTGAACTCTTGAACTGCTTTCTTTCTTCCTTCCTACCACAAAAGGAAGACTAAATTTAAAAACAGTACGCCAGAAGTATGTACAAACCATTTAAAAAATAACTACATCCTATGAAAAAACTTCCAAATAAACATTTTAAAACTTAATTATCTTAGATTCAGTGTCTTTGATTTGAAAAGATGCCGTACTTAAACACGAACACTTTGATCATTTATAATAATAATAATAATAATAATAATAATAATAATAATAATAATAATAATAATAATAACAATAATAATAAAGAGATGTAGTGTTTTGTAGAAAAAGAGCCTGATATTGCCTGGACCAAACTTCTAGAATTGGGAGAACTGTTCAACAGATTTGTACGCCTGCTAAAATGTTCAATATCTGCAAAATTCCTCTAATTGTGAATAGTTTAATGATAACTTTTTAAAATATAAGGTAAATAAAACACTAGCATAACATATTACAATAATCAATATCACTTACACTCGATGGCTGCTACCTAACGACAAATGCAATATCCTTATTAGCACAACTGTATTTAGACTTTTATATTTGCTGTTTCATTTTATTCTGCGGATGAATGATGAGGGAACGCATGTAAGAATGTATGTATCAGTGTTGGGCAAAATACTATGAAAAGGTAATTAGTTTTGGTTAATAGTTACTTTTTCAAAAAAGTAACTGGGTTAGTAACTCAGTTGCAATATTATAAAAGTAACTAATTACTAGGAAAAGTAACTATTGGTGTACTTAAAATGACCAAAAACATAAAATCAGAGTAGAAAAAGGTTATATTTTTACTGTAAGAACCACAAACATGTTTAATGAATCATTAACTTGAAATGCAAAGATAAATTATAAACTTTAAGAAGTTATGAACAAGTTTTGTAAACAACAAAGTTTTTTGAAGCTATTTACCTAAAAATGCACCCAAGGATTTTTTTTATATAACCATTTAAAACTATTTACAGAACAATCAGCTGTTCTACATCAAATAAGATGCCACAAAATGATTTGTGCCACTCCAAAAAATAATTTCTGTCCACTATGAGATAATGGACCTCATCACAAGCGTGGTACCTGCAGGCCTGACAGCAGGAGGTGTATCACTCCTGTTTTCCACCTGCAGACACCGTTTACACTGTAATCTGACTTTGGTGGCTTTTTGGCAGCAACTGTGACAATCAGCAGTCGCCTCATTGTTCTGACACACACACAAAAAAATATCGACTACACTACACACTAACTACACAAGACTACACACTAACTACACAATCCAAACACGCTAAAGGTCACAAATATCTCACATCTCAAAACTCTCTCTCTCTTTCTTTTGCTCTCTCTCTCGCTGCCATTGCTCCTAGAACTTTCCCCTCTTCCCTCTGCCATGTTGCCAAATCATTTTTGATTGGTCAGTATGGTACTTCTTTTTTTTGGTCACAAGCGCCATCCTTACACAGTAAACACATCAATAGTATTCAGGAAAAGACATTGTATATATCAGCGGTCTCCAACCTTTTTTGCACCACGGACCGGTTTATGCCCGACATTATTTTCACGGACCGGCCTTTAAGGTGTCGCGGATAAATACAACAAAATAAAACTAGTACCAGTACCGAAAAAAAAGAAGATTTATTCATAACACACATGAACAGACCCAGGAAAACAGAGTTAACGATAAAAACGATAACAAAATAACGCTGAAAACCGATAAAAACCCTGAAAACCAGACATTTCACACCTGAGCCTCAACTCTCACGGCCCGGCATCAAACAACTCACGGACCGGCACCGGTCCGAGGCCCAGGGGTTGGGGACCGCTGGTATATATTTTTTATCATGACTGGTTTTACGTGGCCTATCAACACAATTTAAAAAACAGGTATATAGTTTGAAGTCCACACTTTTAACACAAAAATAGAGACTCGGGCTTGTCTTGGGCTGACATAGCATCTTGTTACTATGTCACCTTAAAGAAGTCATGTGATTTGTTTAATATGATTACTTTTCTTTCTCAGCCAATCAGCAGCACACGTGCGATTGTTTCAACCCCTAACTCTGAATAAGCTGAAGACAGCTTAAACCGTGTATTGAAAAAGTAAAAAAAAAAAACAGTAGTAACGCATCCGCACCTTGTTAATAACAGTAACAGCGTTGTAATGATAGAAATAGTAATTAATTAGATTACTAGTTACTGAAAGCTGAAACATTTACAGCATTAGTAACGGCGTTACTAATAATAATGCCGTTATTCTCATCACTATGTCACTATGTATGTATGGCATTCTGCTAAAATGTTAGCTCTGCTCCAGTACAGCACAAATAAAGGAATCACTTTTCACGTTGGTTTAAATAGGTTCCACTTGGATACATGGAATTGTTATTATTAAGCACTTATTGTGATGGAGGGGTTTGTGTGTCCCAGGGATCCCAGGGGCTAGGTTGTTGGGGGGCCTTTGCCCACCTGGTAGGGTGTCCCATTGCAATTTTGTCCTTTGTGAGGGATAAGACAAAGACCGAAAAGACTCCTACGAGTATACAACCAAGGGAACAATTCACCCTGCCCAGGATAGGGTTACTGAGATAGTGCGTGAGGTTGAGGGGTACCGGCTAGATATAGTCTGGCTCACCTCAACGCACGACTTAGGCTGTGGAACCAGTCTCCGAGAGAGTGGCTGGACTCTGTCTCAGTCTACAGTTGCCCTAGGTGAGAGGCAGCAGGCTGGGGTAGGTATCCTAGTATCCCCTCTGCTGCCTGTACATTGGGGTTTCTCCCTGTGGATGAGAAGGTTTGTTCCCAGCGCCTTTGGGTCGGGGGAACCGGTCTTGAGTACCCAGCCTTCTTGGAGAATAATGTAAGCGTTTAGAAAAATGTACTTTTTATTGCACCATGTTCATTCACTCATGAGCAGCTGTAACATGAATTCAGTGGTTGAATTGCCACCTCAGCACCCTGATCTATAGTGTTCTATAGAGTCTTGCAAATGACCTACTAATATTATTGGGGTGTGTGGTAGCAGGGACATTTGTAAGTTTCAGGACACTGGCCCTAAAGGACTGGAGTTTGACACCAATGCTGTAGATGGTCATTATTTGGTTCCTGGCTCTACAGATGGTTGTCATAGTCAATGCTCCTCACATGGTTTTTAATAACTGCTTTGTGCAGTTATTAAAACCCAAGGTCCTCCCTCTATAAGACAGCTGTATGTCATATAGAGGCACCCACGAGACAAGCAGTGGGCTTGGGTCCAGCAGATCTCACCAGTTTTTAGTAAACCCTTCCAATTTTTTTCATCTGGAAGTCATCCCTTCCCAGAAACACACTTAAACATTTCATCCCCTCCCTGTCCCACTGCAGCAGAGCTGGCATTTTTGGTTTCACTTTATTAATCCACTCTTCTGGCAAAGGCCAACACATTTTGACCAGCTGACCTAAACAACAGAAGCTGGTTCATATAATGCTAATTTCTGAGTGCTGATTTTGTTGTGCCCGGTCATAAAGACTTTTACATCATCAGCATATGGTGACAAACTCACTGTGGCCTTTTTCTCCCACAAAAGGTCAACCCCGTGAGGCTCTGTCTGGGTTGGTTTAGATGGGACTCAATGGCCAGAGCATGTAATATCCGGCTCAATCTGACTGGTTCAATCTGAGAGACATAAAAATAGTTTTGAATTCTCATATTCTGAGGTATTTTGAGGCAGTCTGAGACCAATTAAACTGGGTGACACTTTTTTACATTCAGTACACGGTGGAATGGTTTTAGTGGATAACCACACTTTGTGACCTGGAGAGTGCTTTGAACCAGGAAGGTACTGATTGTTAGAATGTTGTTTCTTTGGGGTGTTTATGAATAAAAACTGTATGTCCCTAATTTCTGCCTTTACATGTATGTAAACTACAGACATCAGACTGTTCATCTCCACTATCCCCACTTTAATTTTATATGTATTTTGTATGCTTTGTACTCGACTTTGTCTACTCTGTGGTCAAAATGGCTTGGTCCCATTAAAACTTTTAAAATCCTTTTGCTTTAAAAAGCCAGGAAATTCGATGCAGTGCTGAGGAACTTGGATTTAGCCCAAGCAGAAGACAAGGCCAGTTATGTACTGTCGTCACTGGCTGCGACCGAGGAAGAGAAGAAACAGGTTGAGGAAGCAACAGTTGGACAAACAAAGAATGCATTGTGGTAATAAATTAATTCTGTTAGGTGTTAAGCAAGAAATTTTAGTGAACTGTGTCTCCTAATTTGTGTTTCTTTATAAAAGGCTGGTATATTGCAAGAAGACTATCACAGCTAGCAACTTTGGTTTGGTCGTGGGTGCACTCCAGGGGAGCTCATACCCTCCTTCATTATTTAAGACTCTGCTTGGCCGGTAGAACCTGACAAAAGGATGTAAAGTAAGTTGTTAGTAAAAAGGGGTCTGTGCTTCTAAGAAGCATTTATGACTAAGAGATATTTTCATCCCCAAAGGCATGTGATTGGGGGATCCTTTATGAACCGAAGGCCAAGCAGCTGTATACTGACTCTACTGGAGCAGTTATCAAGGAGGAGACTGTTTTTATCCAACAATGGGCTGCTTGGTGGTTCTCCAGATGGGATAGTCAAGTTAAGTCAAGTCAGCTTTATTTGTGTAGCACATTTAAAAGACATCAAGTCTCAGCCACAGTGCTGAACAGGGGTATAATGTAAACAGATAAAAGAATGAATTAAAATAAATGAGGTTAATTGTACACACACACACACACACACACACACACACACACACACACACACACACACACACACA